CTCAGCCCATTGTTCTCTGGGAGCCTACAGGTTTATAACCTCAGACAGCCCTCTGGAATAATTGGGCTTAGCAGGTTTTCAAAGGACCACAACCAGCTTTCCAGCCTCCTGTTACTTCTTAGGCGAGAGGTAAGAGGTTGGTTCTGTGTGTTAGACAGAGTGGATCTTTGTAGCTATTTTCACTGTAGAAATCTCAGACCCTGATAGAATAGCTTGTCTATAAACATCTCCTTGTAGTCAGTGTTTAGTCTCCTGCTTTCTGTCCTGGAGACCTGACATACTCAGATGAAGCAAGAATATGTGGTTTGGTGAAAAGTTCCAGAATCCTTTTATGTGTTCTCTGAGTTTTACAGACCATTGTAGTACAGGCCAGGGCCCTGCGATGAAGATCCAAGTTCCTGAGTTACACGCACATGTGCCCTCAGTTCAGCCTGGCAGCAGGCTTCTATAGTCTTACACTGTGTACCAGACATCAGTGATCAGTGGCTGGAGGCCCACGATGATTTCCAGGGGCACCTGGAGATCGTTCCTTCCAAGAGCTTTGGCAAAACAGTCTCAAATATCAAAACTGTACATCTTCCTCTGGCCTTCTTTTGATAGAATCAGGGCATGAGTTAATGATGGGTGTCTTTGGCCTTCCGGCATCTCTCCTGTCTTTGCCCCTCTTATCTCCTGCCCCATATCCATCTTGATCTTCAAACTCCAGGAAGCTTGATCCCTTTAGCTCCTCCAAGCATCTAGTCTCACCTGCCAACCGCTTCTCAGGCTCTCACTCCTACAGAGCTCAGACTTTAGAATTATGACAGCATTAAGAAACAGAGGAGGTACTCAAACTTTCATTTGGATAAAGCACTTTTTGAGGGAAAGGGAGAGGAAGGGATCTAGTCAGACACGTTCTAGGCTAGAACTCAGTCCCTCATTTCTGGCCTTTCCTCTTTGTCTTAAGGCCAGCCTGGGATGGTCAAAATAAAATAAATTTCAAGTGAATTGAATGAATAATTTTACATACCAGAGGACAGTTTCAGATTTTTGGAATAAGTCAAAAAATAATCATATGGTATAGAGAAGCTACCATATGGTAGAAGACGAATTTTACCTGTTGTTAATGACAAGGAGACCTTCTATTTTTTTAAGTCAGGTGATTGTATTTTGTGTCTGGTTTCTCTAATGTTGACTTTGAAGTTTACAGATTCTAATGGTGGGTAAAAATTCTGCTGGACAGAAAGGGGATTTGAAAGTATGAATTAGCCAGGCAGGTGCAGGAAAAGTTAGGCAAGTTATTTGAATACTTGATAGAGAGGGGATGCGGTGGCATTACCTTTAAGGTGATTCAGAAAATTGTAAGAAAATTGCCCACTGCCTAAGAGTCTCTTTCTCACTAATTTGCTACAGTGTCTGTAATTCATGCATTACAGTTTGCCTTCGGGATGACCTTAGAAAATGCAGTGTCCAGGAAGAAATAAAGTAACCTGTCATGTAGTTCCCTGAAGGTGTCAGGGTCTTATTTATTGTTCAAAGCCAGGAAAGGACTGGAAGATGGTGCCAAACTAAGGATAAACTCCTCTTGCTTTGTAATTCTGCTGAATGTGGATCCTGCACAAGGAATAAAATAGTATCAGCCTTGGGGAAAGTCTAAGGTTCTTGGAGTGCCCGTGAGAACAGAGATGGGAAAGATATTCAAAATCTTAAACTCTGAATCAGTGGACCGACCTTCTTGGTACTGAGTAGAAGGTCTCTGTGGATAATCCATCAAGTTGTTCAGAGTTGTAATACAAAAAGTAGAGTCTCAAAAGCAATTTGATAGAAGTTGCCTCTCAAAAAAAAAAAAAAAGAAGTTGCCTCTCCCAGTGAAATCTTTTTCACATTGATGGTAAATGTCCTAGAGGCCTAGGGTAACTCCGACATAAGGGGACTGTTTTCTGTTTTTCTAGGTTTTTGTTTTATACTTGACCCTGGGATAGCTTGCTCTCCTACTCCTGGAACTCTTCCCAGGAAACCAGCAATCACAGTTAGAACGTGAAAGCAACTTAGAGATGATCCATTTTAACACCTTCACTTTGCAGATGAGGAAGCTGAAGCCCAGAGATGGTACTGATTTAAGAAGCAGAACTGCACAGAGGAGGTGTATGGTTGGGAAGCAGACAGACCTGGGTCTACCAGTTAGCAGTTGTGTGAACTTGGGCAAGTTAGTTAATATTTTTGAGCTTTGATTTCTTCTTCTGTGAGAGTGTTCTTAAGGAGCATCCACTCAAAGAAAAAATTCGAAACTTAGCCAGTATTATTGCATTTGCTATTAGTTTTTTTAAAAATTGAGATGTAATTCATATGACATAAAATTTACCATTTTAAAATGTACAATTTAGTGGATATATTCACCATGTTGTGCAGTTATCACCACTGTCTAATTCCAGAACATTTTTATCACCTCCCTACAAAAAACCTGTACCTATTAGTGGTCAGTCTCAATTCTCCTTTCTTTCCTAACCCTCAGCTCCTGGGAACCACCGATCTGCTTTCTATCTCAATGGATCTCCCTATTCTGGACATGTCCAATAATGGAATGATACATATCCTTTTGTGACCTGGCATCTTTCAGTTAGCATAATGCTTCAAGCTTCCCTCATGTTTTAGCATGAACTTTATTCCTTTTTATTGCTGAATAGTCTCCCACTGTACAGAGGTTTCATATTTTGTCTCTCCATTCATCTGTCAATGAAAATTTGGTGTAATTACCATTGTTTTACATGGTTGGGCCAAAGCTATAATGAAAGCTTGGGTGTCTAACTCTCAACTTGGTCCTGTTTTTACTACCCCATCCTGCTTTTCATAATATCTGAATATATATATTGGATTTAATAGTAGTGTTTTGCTCAAAGGAAACCCTTATAGCCTGCTAATTACTCTTATGGTTTTATACCTTTCAAAGATTTTATCCAGTATGAAAAAAAGCACACAATTCAAAAAATTAAATCTAAACATTGTAGAAAAATGGTGCTGGAACCAGGGTTCGTGTTCTAGACCCTAGAAAGGTCTAGAAATGTGTTTCATCTAGAAATGCCTAGAAACGCCTTTCATCTCACTATGTTTCATGGAACAACTTGGGGTCTGTTCAGGATCTTGTATCTACCTGATTTTTATGTGTAAGTTCATGGTTTACAGCCCAGGATCAAAGAAAGTTTTTTTTACTAACTTTGGCTGATATTTGAGGACTCTTCTCTCTTGCTCATTTTACTTCAAGGCAAAAATTCAGAATTGTTCTCTTCTTTGCTTAGACAGTCACTGTCGTTGCAATACCCTGACCTTTATGTATGGGGAATATATGCCTTTGGCTCCGAACTTAACTACATTTCAAACATGGCTGGTCGTCTCTCCTTATGACCTGGTCCTTTTCTCACACACTGACTGCCACAGCTTTTCAGGTCTGCTATTTAGACATGGAGGGAGAGAGGCTGGTTTGGTGTACTGGAAAATTTCTCTGTTTTCTACTAATTGAAAATGTAGGCAACATAGCCCCAGGCATTCTCTTTGTGGGGCGTGAAGAAGGAAAGCGGGTCTGACTTGTTAAGGATTTAGTTGTTGACATTCTTTGCTTGGGAGCCAGTGATGTGTAGAATGTGGCAAGATTCCAGTGGTTGAAGGCATTTCCCTGGGTTCATCTAGGGTTTGTGCTGCCTTATCTCTGGTGACATGAGTGGGGGATCCAGCCCAGCCTGGCTTCCTGGCTTCCTGACTTTAAGCAAGTGTTTTCTTTAGTGAAACTTTTAATGATCTGGTCCTGGATGCTGCTAATTACTCTTCTCACTTTACTGTTATTCTTTAAGATCTGGAGGTGTCATTGTATGTCAGGCTTCACATGCATTAGCTCATATGATTTCCTGCTTCTAAATGTTTGATGGTCCTCAGATACATGTGAAAACCATTGAGCCTGGCCCTTGTCTTCCTCAATCTTAACACCCCTCCTTCCTCCCACTATTCCTGGTTGCCATGGTTTCCAATAGCCATGTTCATCCTGGTTGCCCTGTGTCTGCATGTTTTCCACTCTGTTAGTATTCCTCTTCATGTGATGCCCAGACAGGAAGTGAGACTGCACGTGTTCTATGAACAGCCAAACTAGAACCAATACCAAGAAATGAACCTGGTCCTCATTTCATGCCACACACATTGGCTGGTGCTTGTCCGCTGGCTGCATCTTAATACAGCCCCTCCACCCTGCCCAACTCAGGATCTTTTTTTTCACCTTAACTCATGTGAGGCAGAGTTCCTCTTGTGCTGGTTGTTTTTTTTTTTTTCCCCTCAGTTTGACTCTCCAATCTGTGGCTTTTTTTATTTTATTGGAATATAGTTGATTTACAATATTGTGTTGATTTCTGCTATACATCAAAGTGACTCAGTTGTAATATAGATATATATTCTTTTTCATACTCTTTCCCATTATGGTTTATCATAGGATATTAAATATCATTCCCTATGCTATACAGTAGGACTTTGTTGCTTTTCCGTTCTGTATATAATAGTTTGTATCATGGAGTTGATTTTTTGATCCCAAGAGCAGAACTGTACTTTACCCCATAGTCTGATTTATACATTTCCCCTGGACACTGACAGTGTTGTCCGATCAGAACAATATGAATGGGAGGCTGACATCATTCTGATCCAACAAGTTGTTGAGCAAAATGGAGAATAATCTTTTTAAAAAAAACAATACATTAGGATTGGCCCTGTTAATAGAAAAATCCTTCTCTGAGTATCGTCATAGGGGACTTTCATGAGTCCTTTTCAGTTCATGATGGTTTTTTGGTTTGTTTGGGGGTTATTTTCAGCATCAACAATTCAGCAGATTGAATGGAGTGTGGAACCTGTTTAAGACGCTTGGTGCCTCAATCACTCTGCCAGGCTGTCAGTCACATGGGTCCTGTGTGGGCCATGGATGCGTCGACCCACTGCATTGCTCGCGGAGGATGTTTGCAGGGTTTTAACCGGCCCCTCTCTGTCCCTTGCAGTTACCTGGCCGAGCAGTGCTGGAATGGCGGCTTCATCTACCTGATCATGCTACGCCGCTTCAAGCACCAAGTCCATTCTCCTTATAACGGCAACAGTAGCAACAGCTCCGAACCAGGAGAGACACCTAGCTTGGAGCTGGGGGACCAAACGGTGAAAAAGGGGAAAAGAGCAAGAAAGTTTGGGGTCATTGCCAGGTCTTCTACCCACAAAGCCACTGAAGAATCCAAGAGCAGCTCTGGCTGTGAGTTGGACAACGACCCCGTGTCTGAGCTGGACAATGGCCTAGACCCTGGACTGGGAAACGGTCATGCTTTTGAGCTAGAAAATGGCCCGGATTTGCTCAAGGAGGTGGCTGGATCCCATCTAGATAGATCGGAATTGGACAGAGGGACAGAGCCTAGAGTTCCAAAGACAGATACCACTCTGCCCACAAGCAATGACAAACGCCGCTTCTCAAAATCTGGGAAGACGGACTTCCAATCCAGCGACTGCCTGGCACGGGTAAGGTTTGCTTTGATGGATTTGCGGAATTTTCCATGAAATATTGTTTGCAGTTGTGTTTACGGTTTAGAAAATACACCTAAGATGACCTTGCATTTGGATACCAAAAGACTTATTAAGATAAATGATCAGAGGACATGATAATAACAACAAAAAAATCCAAGTCATTTTATCCCACTTAAATAAAGAGCTAGTCAAGTGATCCTAAGTGGAAAATTCAAGCCTTCTGTGGTATAATTTGAGTCATATGAGGCCTAGATAAAGTACTTGAACTGCATCATTATTTATCGCTGCTGTCACCAGTGGACTTGCCACAGCAGGGCCAAGAATTCCTGGTGGCTGCTGATGGCATAAATATCCAAGCCTCAGTGTTACATAGGAAGGGTGTCCAACCTGCAGGGAAGCGTCTGCTTTTATTTTTAACACATCAAAACAAGTGACATTTTCAGGGGATTGTGTTACTATATTGCTAAAATTCCAGTGAAGTCTGGAAACTTCGTAGAAATCTCTGATACTGTGGTATCCAGATGTGATGGTCAGAGCTGGTCTTACCTAAAAGCAAAGCAGGTAAGGTCTATTCTGAATGGTAGTAGACACACTTCTAGCCTCAAATGGTCTCCCCCATTATAAGCAATACCCTCTTGTTAAGTTACCTTCTGTAGGGTCAGCGTGCTCATTCCAAGAACCCTCTTGGCCAGGGGTGCCTCTGGGTTCCTAAACAAAGCAGTAACTAGTGAGATGGTTCCTGATTGGTTTCTTTTCTGACTCAGGAGATGCCCTCTAAGGATGAAAGAGGAAGTTAGAAAGATGGAAGATGGGCACAGAGGAAGTATCAAGTTCAGCTTTGCAGTCTGGAAAATGGTGCCGTAGGAGTAAATGTAATTTCTAGTAAGGCTAGCTCATGAATATTTCTGCAGCTGTAGCCTATCTGCATAATGAGTTGAGAAGAATCAAAATAACACCTGTCTTAAGGGACTGACTGTGTTCCTTCATTTGAAGATCTGGGTGACCTTCATAAAGCCTTACACAGGGAAGGTGTATTTATAGATGAAATGTACAAACCAGAAGAAAAAAATGTTTCTATTAATGATTTTCTACCAATTTTATGCCCCTCTCCCCCAAAAGGATTAAAAACAATAAAAAGATTATAATATATACCTCTCCCCCAAATTAAGGGTAGTAGAAATTTTATAATATGTTCCTTATCAATGAATACTATATCTTGATATGTTTTTTTTCTTCTGATGATTAGATTGTGAATATGCAGAAAGCCTAAAGTGAGAAAAGCAAGTTGGGCAATATTGGTTCAGTTTGAAGGTTTAAGGTACCAAAGGTTTAGGGTGGAATCTCATATACAGTCCAAAGAAGTCCTTTGGCCTAGGACAAAGTGGGGATAATGGAATGATTTTCAAAGAAAAAAGTGCCACACCAAACTTTTAAGAGAGTACCATCCTCTGCTCATCCTAATTAAAAGCAGTAACCTAAAATTGGATTTCTGGATTAGACTCTGTTAAGACTGCACATACCAGAATTCCTTTGCCTGGTTTTTGTACTCAACATCAAATATTCCAGAAAATACAAATGAAAGGTGAAAAAAAACAAATCTTCATCTATTGTCTTGGAACTTTTGTTTTTGAAGCCCCATGCCCATATTAAAAGGAGAAATTTGTCGTCTGGAATTCTTCATAACTCTTCTAAATCTGCAGACTGATTATTGACCTCGGATTGTACGTTTGGTCTTGAAAAGTCAGAATGGGCCCCACACCTTCTCAGGCATGAATATTTCAGTACCCTTTGCAACCCCAGAAGTATCTTCATTAGATGCATATGCCTAATTGGGATTGATCATGTTGACAAGAAGTGGATCTTCACAGCTTTCCTCCTCATCTTGGTGGCACCCAAACTGGGACCAATAGACCTTAACAAAAGGCTGCTTAGGTTCTTGGGATGGCTAGATGTGTATTTTTATTTTAGGATAAGCCCAAGGTCATGCTAAAATGGAATTTCCAGAAAAACAAAAATTAGCTGTTTACCTCTTAAGCTTTTGGGGGAGAATTCCACTGTATTTGCATAATTTGAGATTAGACATGTCAGTGTTGTTCCGTTTCTGCTTTATTAATGATTTAATATGTCTACAGAGACTTAATAAATTACAGACAAGGCTTATGATCATTCAGACCATTTTTATTTGTCAGCTACTTCTTTTTCATAGACTGTTATTTCTTACAGGAAAATAAATCCTCAGACTTGGTTTTTACTTTTCTATACTCCCTTAACGGACCTATAGTAAATATTTCAACAAATATCTCCTTTTAAAGTATGGTTTGTTTCTATAAAATAGTAACACAGAATGATACACACGCAAACAGATGAATTTTTAAAAATACAAAAGTTGGGCCCATCTTCTAAAGCCCAGGAATCTCTTAGGATATAGATAAGTAATTTTAGAAATGAATTCAGACTTCCTTACTCTCTTGTCTAGTAAAGCTCATTACTCACCCAAGGTGACATGTACACAGTGTATATTTTTGTAATGCTGCATGGTAAAAATGAATGCAACCAAACTTAGGCACGTAACAATGAAAAAAAATTCTACCATTTGTCAGTCAGGAGAGCTGATTCCCAGCTGGCATGTATGTCTATGGATCTGTTTGCAGTCTTAGCCTGGTACCCAAAATCCACCCTGTGCAGTGCCAGACCTCTTTCCTGTAAGTGGTTCAGCAGAGACCTCAAAAAGGCTGCCCGAGCTCTATATCTGCAGGAAAGTGTGTGAAACTCAGGAGGAGAGTCAACACTGAGGACATCTCCTGGGTGGTCCCTGATGTTTGCATCTGGCAGAGGCAGCGGGAGGATGGTCCTCTTCTAAGAAGACCCCACAGTCGTGGGGTGAACATACATACTTCCATGGTAATGTCTCCTAAGTTCACATCTGCCTTCACCTCTCTTCTGAGCCCTCCGCATCTTACCAACCATCTACAGGATGTCTCCATCTTTGGTATTTCACATCATGCCTGAAGCTGGGTGTATGGCTTTCCCACACCACCAAGCCCATTCTAACATCAGGTCTTACCATCCACAGAGTTGCCTGAGCCAGAAACCTGAGATTCAGCTAGTGACTACTTGCCCTGGATTATGCAGAACTTTCCTGGTTTTTCACTGGCAATTCCATATCCTGGGAAACGCCTTCACCCAGCCAGATTGGGACAGTTGGCATTATGGAGTTAGCTGGAATGCTGCCTTCACTCGAAGAAGAAAACGAAAACGCACTCCAGTTTCTTGCCTGGGAAATCCCATAGACAGAGGAGCCTGGTGGGCCGTCGTCCATAGGGTCACAAAGAGTTGGACCACTTAGCAACAACTCCCCTCTTCCATATACCAAGTCCGGTCAATCCCTGAATCCGGTCTACTCCTGCTCCCTTGGGGATGTCCATGCTCTCCACTGCTCTGAGCCCCATCCTGCAGCTTTAGTTCAAGGCCAGGCTGCTGTCATTTCTCAGCTGTGGTCACAGTAGTCTACACTGCTCCCACTTTCATCCCATCTTCAACTGTCCCATTGCAATCAGAGGGACTTTCTAAAGAGCACATCTTCCCATGCACATTGCAGCTGAAACCATTTGGTGGTCCAGTTGCCTTTGGGGTAATACCCGAACACCTTAGCTTGACATAGCACATAAGGCCCTTCACCACCTGATTCTCACTGCTCTCTTTCTCCCTGATTTGGGCTGAATTAGTTTTTTCAAAATGCCATGCTCACTCTTGTCTCTGAGCCTTTGCCATCTCTGCCCCAGTTCAGTGCATTGCACCTGTAGGTGCTTCGTAGATATTTATAACGAAGGCACAGGAGAGCCCCAAGCCTGAGAGACGAGACACCGAGTTCCAGCCCTGGTTCTTCCATCCCCAGCTCTGTGGCCTTCAGACTGCCATGTCCTTTCTCTGAGCTTGTTTTCTTACCTCCAAGCTGAGTTTTTTGGTTTGTTGACAGAGGAATTTCAACTCTGACATTATGATCACATGTGTCTTCATTTCTTACTGATCATTCTAAGTAAGAAGGGATAAGCAAACAATCTCAAAAATAAGTTTTCAGTTGAAGCCAGAGCATTTACTGCAGTGAGATTCTGGCTAGATGATGTGTCTTCTCACATTTGGGGCAAAGATGCTGTTGTAACATTTTATTTTGGGTTCCAGCAGATGAGGTCATTTAAATGCTGCTGTGGCAACTCCCTTTAATATACTACCCCTGTTTTTGGTAAATAAATCCCTCTGTTTGCCTTCATGGAGAGATGCATGTGTGAGCTCACACAGTAATTGGTGGTTTATAGGAAAGGGTAGCACTCCGACATTAATAGAGACATCCATAGCATCCAATTTTGCGTGGTTTGGCTTCTTCTCAACAGACTGACAAAGTCTCACTGCCCTTTCAGGCAACGTAGAAGGAAGCAAAAGCCCAAGCCATCTGTCTAGACAGGGTCTGCTTCAGAACTCCGTCATCTCTACAACTGGATCTCTGTTCACGCTCTGAACATTGGCAAACGTGTAGGTCTCCCATCTGGGCAAACTTCTTAATGTCAGTCTCAATAACTTTGAAGACCCCTAAGATTAGGGTAAACATTCTCTTGTTTGTTCTTTCAGTGACATTTATGCAGTATTGTGATGTGCTAGGCACTTCTCTAGTTGCTAGAAAATCCATTGGTAAATGAGAGACAAGGTTCCTATCTTGTGGCATTTATCACATATAAGGGGCCACTGGCAATAAATACATAAACAAAAGCAGAATGTTAGATGCTGACCGCAAGTACAATAAATGAAATAAAACAAAGTGAAGTAAAAGATGTCCCAGCAGTGACATGGGCGGGGGGCCAATTGATATTGGGTGTCAGCAAAGACCTTACTAAAGAGGCCATGTTTCAGCTGAAGACTGTGTGTCGGGAGAAGAGAAGCCCTGCAGTATCTGGGGGCAGAATGTTTCTGGTGAGAAACTAGCAGCTGAAGCTGCCATGAGA